TAGAACCAGACCAATTTTGGCCCAACCTATTTAAGCCATGACCCAAATGGACTTAGTCTAGACTAACTCGTAGGCTTGTGAGTTGGCTCATTTTATAAAATAATAATTATTTTTAAAATAAAATAAATGTAATATTTTTTATTAAAAAATATATATAATAAATTAATTTGATAATATATTTTATACTATATATATAATTTAAAAAGAATAATAAACCTTAAACATAAACTTCATTTACTTTAGTCATCTTCTTCTTTTCTATTGTTACTTGTCACACTTTTGTTGTGACTTCTCACGTTATTCTTCTCGTGTGCATACCTTCAACACCTCTTTTTAAGCCTCTGTGTATATCTCATGTTTATTCTTTACATGTATTTTCATTTTTGTTATTTTGTCTACTGATTAAAGTTTAAATTTTATTTATTTATTCCCACAACACTTATTATTTAAATTATGGAAACTCAATTTTATATTAGAATGCTCCTCCAATTGGTAACTCAAACAGTCATAGTTTTGATTTTCCTAGTAATAGTAAGAGGGATAACCTTGAACAAAAAGGTTAAGTGTCTAAGAAAACAAAACTATTAAATGTGGAATTATTTTTAAAAAGTTGGTCTAGTTGAAGGGGTAGAGAAATGTAAATGTAAGGGTTGTGAAAAATTGTACACATGTAAAGGAATTTTAGGGACCAATCATTTAAGATGACATAGACACATTCCTAAATGTAATGTATTTTCAAAGTATCACGATGTGGACATTGCCTTGAATAATAAGGCTAGCTTGTTGAAGTAATGAAAATTTGACTCTAAAGTTTACTAAGATGCACTTGTTAGAAATATTATTAAGCATGATCTTCCATTATTATGAGCGAGTTTGGGAGATAAATAATTTTTGAATCCCAATTTTAGACCAATTACTAGAAACACTATGTTTATAACAGAAAAGAAAAAACTTACAGATGTGTTATATAATATTTATAGTAGAATATGTTTAACTTATAATATCTGAACAATTATAACTTCTCAAGGCTACATATTGTAACAACTCATTTTGTTGGTTAAAATTAGAAATTAGACCGTAGAATATTTTCATTTTGTGATATTCTAAGCATTTCAATTACAATAGTAGCTTCAGAATCTTCATTTAACATTGGTGGTGATAATTGGACATTCTGGTATATATTCAATATTTTATAATCTTTATATTATGCAAATTTTAATTATTTAATGTTAGTTATTTAATTTTTTTTATCAATTATAGATACAAAAGAAGTGAATATTTTAAATTTTTGTACGATTACATTGTATGATTTTATTTTGTCTAAATAGATTGTGAGTTAAATTTGACATATTATTTTTTCAAACAAAATTTTAAAAACTTATATAAATAAAATATTTTTTTATATTTAATTAGGTCAAAATGACCCATTAGTATGTTAGCATAATACAGGGTCATGCTAGGTAAAAAATTTGGGTCCATTTTAAAATATAGGTCAGACTGGGTCAATAGATTTTTTATATTTGGCCCATAGGGCCATACTAGGATGGATTGGGCTAAGCCACCCGTTTTGACAATCTTAGACATAAGTGAGAAGTTGAAGGCATATCGACTTTATAATCCCATCATGAAGGGAATTATTATTCGTCGAGATGTTGCTTTGAAGAGGATAAAAGTTGGTACTAAGGTGAATAGTTTAGACAATCAATTCAATTTGTTTTGGATTGGAATGATGATGATAGGGATGTCGAAGAAGATGTTGAACCTAAAATAGAAGTTAAAGAGCAAGAAGAGATTTTAGCAAAAGAAATTCCTGTTAATGTTGCACCTTAACGACTAAGGAGTCATAAGCAACCTCTATGGATGTAGGATTATGTTGTAGATGCATGTGATGTTATTGACTCACACTTCAGTATCAATAGTGAAGATGATCTTGTTCACTTTGAAGATGCAACAAAAGATCCCATATGGAGAAAAGTCATGGTAGAAAAGCCATAAAAAGGAACGAAACATGGTACCTCATTAATCTTTTAGAAGGTGCAAAATGGATTGGGGTTACATGGATTTTTAAAACTAAATATGATGAAAAAGGTAATGTCAACAAGCACAAGGCACAATTGGTGGTTCGCAATAGTTCTCAAGAATATGGGATGGATTATATTGAAGTGTTTTTCACCGGTAGGATGCATGGAAATAATTTGGTTAGTCATTGCATTTGTTGTGCATCATGGTTGGTCCATCTATTAATATGATGTTAAATAAACCATCTTGAATGGAGAATTGATTAAAGCTATAATTGTTGAACAACAGAAAGGATTTGAGAAACAAGGAGAAAAAAGAAAAATATACAAATTGAATCAGGCTTTAAATGGCTTAAAGCATGCTCCTTGAGCTTGGTACAATCACCTTGAGAACTATTTTCTTAGTCAAGGTTTTGCTAAATGTGAGCATGAACCAACCTTGTTTGCTAAGATGATAGGAAATAGTGTTCTGATAGTAAGTATGCATGTAGATGATTTAATCTACATTGGAAATACAAAAGAGTTGATGTTGGAGTTTAAGGAATCTATGCAGTCAGAATTTTCTATGACTGATATAGAAAAAATAAAGTTCTTTTTTGGTCTTAAAGTAACTCAAAAGAATGATGGTATTGTTGTGTGCCAAAAGGAGTACATGATTGATATTTTAGGTAAATTTGGAATGATGAATGCCAATTTGGTTCATAACCCGATGGTTCCGAGAAGAAAGTTAGACAAAGTTGAAGATGAGAAAGGAGTAGACAAAACACTTTACAAGCATATGGTGGGGCTTTGTTTAATGTATGCAACTACTGCAAGACCAAATATGATGTATAGTGTGAGCCAAGTGAGTAGGTTTATGGAAAATCCAAAAGAGCTTCATCTACTAACAGTTAAGAGAATTTTGCACTACCTACTTGTGACTTTGGGTTATTTTATTAGAGAAGTGGAAAAAAAGAGCTTATAGGTTGTATAGATAGTGACTATGCTAGTGATGTTAAAGATAGAAAAAATACATTTGAGTATGTGTTTATGATGAGCATGGCGGCCATCTCATAGAGTTGAAAGAACTAGTGAAGAGCCTTTCATCAACTAAAGTCGAATATATAGCAATAACAATAAGCTCATGTCAAGTTGTATGACTTAAATGACTAATAAATGTGATGGAAAGGATGCAAACAGAACAAAATTTAGTTATGCATGGAAGAAGTAAACATATTGATATAAGTTTCCTTTTTCTAAGAGTTCTTAGTGAAAGTAAAACAATTAAACTACAACAATGTCATTCTAAGGAACAAACTATTGATGTCATGATCAAGTTACTCAAATTAGAAGACTTTATTCCAATAAGAAGCAAATTAAGAGTTGATGCTAATAATGTGAACCGAACACTATGAATAAGTTTATAAAGGAGGGAATATTAGATAAATTTAAAATAAAGTCTCTAACGGTTACTAAAAACTAGGAAAAATTGTAAGTATTGCTAGAAATTAAGAAATAAAATATGTTTAGTTTTAAAAATATTTACTTATTTTTAGTTGTTTGGTTATTCAAAATCAATTGTCATATATAAATATTGTGATTATTAATCTTGAATAATATCATTATATTTTATGTTTTGAAACTATAACACTTATAATTATAACATATTATCGATGAGACAAAAACTTGAAAAATTTATATAATTGAGAGAATAAGAAAGAAATATTATTTTATATTAAAAAAAATTAAGGGAAACAAATTATTAAAATAAGGAAAAAAAAGATATAATATATATATATATATATATATATATATATATATTTTCTCTTTAATTAAAAAAAATGTTATAAAAGAAATTCTATTTATATATTATTAATGAAAACATAAATATTATATCTACATTTCCTAAATAATTATTTTTTAAAGCATTTTTTTAATTTCTCTTCAAAATTTTTAGATATATCCTAACTTTTGTTCCTCACCCACTAAACTTTTTTTTTTCTCTTTCAAATTATACCAAATGCGGTTTTTTTTTTTAAAATCCTTTTCTATATAATATAGACATAAATAAAATGTAAATATAATCATATAAAAAATGAAAATAAATATGAAAAAGGAAAATACATTGAATATAAAATAATATAAAAGAAACTATTATGAAAAATTAAATCTCTTTTATATATTATATAAATAAAAGATAACATATAAAAAATAAAATAAAATAAAAATGATTTAAAAAAATAGAATCTCTTTTTCATATTAATACAAAATATAAATTGTATAAATGAAGAATATACTTTTATAAAAATATTAAAAAATATGAAAATTTTCCTTTTTAATAAATTATTTTGTTATTTAAATAAAAATAATTTAATTATTTAATAAAATAAAAACTAATAATCACATTATTTGTCCATCAAATAACTACCTTATAATCAACATTCTTAACTGTGGTGGATGAACTACCACCATTTGATCAAATTATTCTGAGAATATGCTATGTAATACATATTTAATTGTATGCTTTCATTAGATTTTGATAATATTTTATGTAATACATATTTAATTAAGTTATTATTATTATTATTATTATTATTATTATTATTATTATATAATAAACAACATAACATAAAAATAATAATACATATATTTTAACTAATTAAAATAAGATAATATAATAAAAAATTCAGAGAGAGACAATTACCACTTTCATCCACTTATTCTTCTGTTCCCGCCATTTTTCCTCTCTTGTGATCTCTTCTCATTTTTCTGCGCACCCAAACTTTAGAAGTTCTACAGACAAAACTGCTGCGTCTTCTTCTTCTAAATGACATGAGTTATTTAGTAAATCCAAATCCTATTTTGGAGCTAAAGCCTCCGTTTCTTACTAATCTCCCAAATAGCTTATTTTACCTTCGAATTTCCAGTCTTCAGAAACCCTAACCGTGGTTCTCTGCACGCTTTTCCAGACTCAGAATCTGCATTAGGGTTTGTGAAAGAACCATGGCGAGTGCGTTAAGCTGGAGACACCATGTCATGATTCAAGCTCTGTTGTCGCGGGGCCCCCTTAGCGAGAAGGACTTGTACGCCATGTTTGAAGACCTCACCAAGAAAAACCCAGGTTTCTAAATGTTTTCTCAAATGCCGCTTTATTCACTTTTTATTTTTATTTCTTGTTGAAAGATTGTGCATTTTTTATTTTTTATTTTTTTTAATTATAGTGTACACTTGAGTTAGGTTTTATTAAGATTGATTGTAAAGTAAAATTGTGGCATGATGAGTACTGAGGGTGCAATTTGTCATCATTTGATTTTGATTGCTGGTAGCAGATGATTTTTTTATTTTTATTTTTTTTTAACTTGGAATTTGGTGTTCGTGTTCATGTGTCCTTGATGGGTTGAACGTGCTTGTTTTTCTCAGGCATTGAGCGGCAACTGTTCGATGGTTTTATTCTGAAAATAAACAAGGCTCTTAGTTGTGCTGATTTTGAGTTGCGTGCCTGCATAGATCAATATGATGGCCAAGTTTATTATGGGGTGGTCAATACTGTTTCAGACGAACATTCCAAGTTAGGGACGAAGTATAGTGTTCCTCAAATTGCCTTCTATAAGGCTATTGTAAGTTTTGCTCCGCTTGATTATGTTTATATATCTGTCTGTAGATTTGTCCATTGGATGAATAGTGAGTTTTTTGAAATGAGAGAAATATTTTGTTTTGGATGCCTGGTATTTTGACATGAAACAACTAATTTGTTTTTTTCGATGGCAAACAACAGATTGAAGCAATAGTACAGGATGCCTCTGCAAACGGTGTTATCTTCAGCATTCATGCTCTCAATCTTAGTTTGGATAGCCAGGTTATAAATTTTTCACCAAATCCTACATTTTCTGATTGTAAGAAAATGAATCTTGTTTCAGCCTGTTGCTATCCAATGTTGTTAAACTGAAGGATTTTAAGAGAATAAAAAAGGTAAAAGATTGTAACAAAATGACTCATAAGAGTTATGCTATACGTGCAAAATTACCAGAATTCTTTCAGAAACTCCTATTAAGATTATCTTTGTCTAGAAAAACTATCAAACACATGATTTAACTGTCCCCGAGCATTACCTCTCCCATACAAACTAAAATATGTAATTGTCCCCACGGACATTAAACCCGCAATTATTATTAAAACTACGTCCTAACATGGCAGTTATTTAAACTGCAATAAATATTAAAATTAATTCCTATATTTCCTCTAATAGATTTTCCAAATTTTTGTTCTCTGTGGGTTGCATGACTTCTTATAAGACATTTGATTATAAATCCTTTCTTCAGTGCTCAGGTTTAGAGTTTACTCATAATTCACATAAACAAGGACTATGCCATTTGGAAAATGCTTGCTTTGAGGCACTATTTCCTTTTCCTTGTTCTGAAGCCCAATAAAAATGGTACAATCATAGGCTCGAAGGTGACCCTTGGTGCAAGCCTACTGTAATAACAGAATCTTCTGCTCAACTCCACGAATTTGCTTAGATATCTTTTATAGTTCAGATTCATACAATACAAACTCCATTATAGACTGAAGCTTTCCTCAAGACTGGTGGTCTTGGTTCCATATCGTAGACCTTTTTTTGAATTATTGAAAGCCATCTGTAGATCTTATGGGTAACATTTTAAATGTCTATCAAAACCTACGATAGATATATAGTCTCCATGACATAAGAGCTGGTAGATTATGTGAGATCTAAGTCTTTTATCCTAATAAATTATACACGTTTTACTTCAGTGTCATAGTATGACTAATATGTTATGTTGTAAGTTATAATTCTAACCTAAACATGTCTTATGCATGTCATGCAATCCACTCTAACATTTCCTACCAACTCTAGCTCTTCATTTACCTCTGTTGAATGAATTAGTGACAAAACATGTCACGGAGGGTGATAGCAGACCGACGAGGAATATAATGAACTCCATGTGTTTAGACCAAAATGATCCTAATATCATCAACTAATCTTACTATCATCAGTTGTCATATTTATAGGATTCTAACATATAAGATTCTAACACTCCTCTCAAGTTGTAGCATATATATCATGAAACAAGTTTATTACAAATGTAACTAACACATGATCCCTTGAGAGAATCATGTCAGTGAGTTAGTTGTTGGAGCTGATAAAGTAAATAATGACAGATGAAATGATAACTATAACAAACTCCATTTTTAGAATTTTGCAATAAGTTCTATAAGCTTGGTCAGTTTTCCTAGTGGTTAAACTTTTAAGTCTATTTTTGTTTCTGGATTTTGGTTAAAGTGTACTGAAAGTATGATAGGAATGGGCCTGAGCCTGTTATTGATGAGGGAATAGGAGTTGGCCTTGTTAAGAATAAGTCTACCGGATGGAAAGTCTACATTAGGAGAAATAAAGTGGGGTCAAGGGGAGAGAAATTAGGTGCTGAGGTGACAAGGAGCCCCATGTGATTCAGTTATAGTACTATTAAGGGAAGGTGTGTGAGGTGTGAGGAGAGGGGATTTTTCATTAAAAATAACCAAGTACAACGAGAGAAATCATCAATAAAAGTAACAAAATATTGAAAACCTAAATTAGACTTAACACGACTGGGTCCCCAAATGTCAGAGTGAACTAAGGCAAAGGGGGATGAAGCACGCTGGGAAACACTACGAGAAAAGGAAGTACGACTATGTTTGCCTAACCGACAGGACTCACACACCAAATTGGACAATCGGGATAAGCTGGGAACAAGTTGCCGTAATTTGCGCAGATCGGGGTGACCAAGCCGAGCATGAAGGAGAGAAGGAGACTCCATAACCGTGCCAACATGTGGAGAAGGTTGAAGATAATAAAGTCCATGTGACTCACATCCGGTGCCAATCACTCTTTGCGAGCTCCGGTCCTGTAGGGAAACGAAGTTTTGGTAAAAGAGATAACACAATCAAGAGATCGAGTTAGACGGCTAATGGATAATAAGTTAAAGGGGGACCCGGGTACATACAAAACATTATCAATGGACAACGAGGGAAAAAGAGTAACTGTTCCAACACCATGAGCTAAAGTTGTAGACTCATTAGCCATTGTAACGGAGGGTAAATTATGAGAAGAAGTGAAAGAGGAAAATAAGGATTTGTTACCGAGTGATGTGATCGGTGGCGCCGAGTCAAGAACCCAAGGGCCAATAGAAGAAGAGTGAGTCGGACCGAGCAAAAGATGTACCTGTGTGGGCAACGAGAGTAGTGGAACTGGAGGGCTTTCGATCCTCATACCATTGAAGAAAATCATTGAAGATAGCAGATTTGTCTCGAAGGTACAGACGAAGGAGGATCCACAAGCAGAGGATTGTGCGGAAGAATCGGCCTGAGCAACTGCAGCAGATCGGCGAGGATAACCATGTAAAGCATAACATTTGTCAATTTTGTGGCCTAGTTTGCCACAATGGTCACACTTGACACGCCCTTTGCCCGGCTTGTGAGAGCGATTACGATCATCACGGTGAGAGGCCAAGGCGAGATGAATCATTAGAAACTACAGGGGGAATATTGAGAGGTTTACATGGCACCCGCAAAGGGAGGAACTGGTAGCGTAAAACCGGGTGTAACAGGGGAACCCAAAATCTGGTCACGAACAGGGGCATATTTATCGGCAAGTCCGTGTAACATCAAAACCATGAAAAACTTTGATCGTTGCTCTAATTCTTGGGCAGGAGTCGAGGCAGGGGTAATAACTCATTAAATTCATGGAGAAGAGCATGGATCTTACCCACATAATCCGCCACAGGATCCTTATCTCGAGGAGCAATAACATCAAGAAGATTGTAACAAACACCATAAAGACGTTGAGTGTCATTGGTGTATAATAATTTGGCTTGTTCCCAAACGTCATAACATGTGCCATACGATCGAAAAATTTGTTTTAAAGAAGATTGGATGGTATTCTTGAGAACCATACATATATGAGCATCAACTTTCTTCCAACGGACACGATCATTGGAAGGAACATCATCTACCTTGGTAGTAAGATGATCAACATACCCCGACTCTCAAGCCAAAGTCTAATATCGATGCCCAAGTTGCATAATTCGTACCATCTAATTTATCAATGGGTAAATTCACATTAACATAATTAGTAAAAACAGATTGCTCGGACCCACCGGAGTCGACGAGAGGTAACTTCAGAATTGGAAGTGGCAGCGGAAGATGCCATGGAGGAAGAGAGAGAAAAACCCTAAAACACCAAAGAGGTCCGATTGGAGCAGCGAGGACAGATCCAGAGAGAGGAGAAGGAGGCGACGCCGGCGCAAAGATCGGCGGCCTGAACGGCGGCGAGACGCGCCGCCACGCGCGGCGGAACGGGAGAAGGTGGCGCGGCTTCGGGAGGCGCATGAGGGAGCGTGGCTGCTCCGATGACCGCGAAACTTCCACGGTGGAGGTCGCACGGAGGAGGCGAGCAAAACCCTGTGCTCGGCGGTCCGAACTGCTACTCTGGCGACGGCGGCGGCGGCGGACGGCGGTGGCGACGGCGGCGGCGATGGAGGCGGCGACAGCTGCAGGTTCAGTGGCAGAGCCGAAAAAAAATCCCAAGAGACCTTAAGCTCTGATACCATGTTGAATATAGGGTTAATTTCCCTTATGTATTTACCACACATAGGGCAGTGTATTTATAATAAAGAAAGGTACTCCTCAAAAGAGTAACAGAATACAAATAGGGTAAATAAAAAGATATTATTTGATATTGTGATTAACAATATCTAACAATATCTCAACAATATCAAACAATATCAACTAATATCTAATCATATCTAACAGTGGCTAATAAAAAGAAGTGTGCATTTGGTCACAAACAAGTGGAGTATCTTGGACATATAATTTCAGAAAAAGGAGTAGTCTACGTGGGTGAGAGGCTTCTTAGGATTAACTGGGTATTATAGGAAATTTGTCAAGGACTATGGAAAAATTGCAAAACCTTTGACGAAACTTACTAAAAAGGAATGTTTTAAATGGGGAATAGAAGCTACCCAAACTTTTGAAGAATTGAAGAGAGTGATGACTACTGCACCGGTGTTAGCTCTTTCAAATTTTGGTCAATCATTTGAGATTGAATGTGATGCTTCGGGGAAGGGGGTAGGTGATGTCCTGATGCAAGGCAGACGACCCATTGCTTATTTTAGTAAGTCCCTGTCAAAGAACAACTTGGCTAAGTCGGCTTACGAAAAAGAATTGATGGCATTGGTTTTATCGGTGCAACATTGGAGACCGTATTTATTGGGAAGAAAGTTTGTAGTTCATTCTGATCAAAAGAGCCTTCAACATTTATTGCAGCAGAAAATTACTATTGTGGACCAACAAAATTGGTTAGTTAAGCTATTGGGCTACCAATTTGAGGTGGTGTATAAACCCGGGTTGGAAAATAAAGCGGCCGATTCTTTGTCCCGAGTGTTCGAAGAAGGGGAATTGATGAACATTACCTCTTTTCCAATTTGGCTACAAATGACCGAAGTGCAGAAAGAAGTAAAGGAAAATGAGGAGTTGAAAAAGATTATTGAAGAATTGTCCATGAATCCCAAGACCCATCCGGGGTTCGTTTTGCAATAGGGAATTTTATTATATAAAAACAGGTTGGTTTTGGCATCCAACTCCATCTATATACCCTTGTTATTGCAAGAATTCCATTCATCACCCTTGGGAGGGCATTCCGGATTCCTCAGAACATATAAAAAAATGGCTGAAAATGTATATTGCGTTGGCATGAAGAAAGTTGTGCAGAATTTTGTGCAAAGTTGTGATACTTGTCAATGTCAGAAATATGCTGCAACTTCTTCAGCGGGCCTGCTGCAACCGCTCCCCATTCTGGAGCAAATTTGGGAGGATATTTCTTTGGATTTTATCACCGGTCTTCCTAAATCTAAGGGGTTTGAAGCCATTTTTGTTGTAGTGGACAGATTGTCAAAATTTGCACACTTTATACCTCTGAAACATCCTTATACGGCTAAAACTATAGCTGAGGTGTTCGCAAAAGAGATTGTTCGGTTGCATGGGGTTGCCATAGTCTATTGTGAGCAACCGAGATCCCTTATTTGTTAGCCTATTTTGGAAGGAGCTGTTTAAGATGCAAGGAATAGTGTTGAAGATGAGTTCCTTGTATCATCCGGAAATGGATGGGCAAACAGAGGTGGTGAACAGGTGTTTGGAGGCTTATTTACATTGCTTCGCATCAGAGCAGCCCAAAAATTGGTCATATTGGGTATCTTGGGCTGAATTATGGTATAATTCATCATACCATGTGTCCATTGGAACCACACCTTTTGAGGTAGTATATGGGCACAAACCTCCTATGTTAGTTCATTTTTTCACAAGGTCAATTATAATGTAGAACCTGAGCTTCCGGAGGGGTTGGAAGTGGAAGAAAGTGAGTTGGAAGAACATGAAGAAATCCTTGTTGTTAGAAGTATTCGGGAGGGTGATGATTTGGTGAAACAGTTCCTAATTAAATGGAAGGGCCGAAGCATGGAGGATACTTCTTGGATGAATGAGGATGCTTTGAAGAGTCAGTTTCCTTTTTTCAGCCTTGAGGACAAGGCTACTGTTGTAGGGGAAGGTATTGATAGGAATGGGCCTAGGCCTGTTATTGATGAGGGAATAGGAGTTGGCCTTGTTAAGAATAAGTCTACCGGATGGAAAGTCTACACTAGGAGAAATAAAGTGGGGTCAAGGGGAGAGAAATTAGGTGCTGAGGTGACAAGGAGCCCATGTGATTCAGTTATAGTACTATTAAGGGAAGGTGTGTGAGGTGTGAGGAGAGGGGACACCTGCTATACTGCAGTGTACTCACCTAGCATATTACATAGCAAATTAAATACAAAAACTATTACAGTATCTTATTGTTGCATTTCTTCTATTTCTTCACTGTACTGTTCCATTGTTGCTCTGTTTCCTATCAAAGTACTAGTTGTATTTCTCTAGTGTATTACTATTATTTGACCTGCAGTCCATCATCCCCCAAGTACAGCCACCATAACCAACACACACAAAAAACTGTTTCTGTTTTATATGCACATCTGGAGAACAAGATAAACATTTTCTCGAAATATTTTATCCCTTCCATTATGATGGGGATCTTTTACGATTTTGTTGAGACAATCGATACTATCTCAACATGAAAATGTATCTATTCTTTAATCTACTGCAAATTTATACGAAAATGTCCATTTCATGGTATATGTTCAGGTTACAATTGTGACAGATGCACAATCTCAAGGAGGCCAGCCAAATGTACCATCTGCATTGAAAAATTTCAGTTTGTCTCAAAAGGAGAAAACCCTGCATGAACTTGTGCGGGACCAGTGGCTTAATTTGACAACAGATGGTGTTATTAAACTTGGTCTGAAGTCCTTTCTCGATCTTCGCAGTTGGTTTCGAAATAATGAAGTTCCATCCTGTCATGTTTGCAATGAAGCTGGAATAAAGGTTGTTCCTGTTGCATCGTGACATTTTGTCTTCTATTCTTTTCCCATCAATGGTTGTGATTACTTTGAGTCGGAGTCAGGCTTTCCTTTAACATTTTCTATCGGGATTTAAATGTTTTTGTATATGCTACGTAAATTTCTGGTAGATTTTTTTAAAAAGTTACTTATTGATCTGATTGGAAGATCTTTTACAAATTGGGTGATTTTTCTTAAATTATATGCACAGCAATAATAATTTTTCATGCATTTAAATTTCTCTAATATTGTGAGGAATTCCTACTGTCTAATTTTCTTGCTTGCGGATGCAGTGAGAACACAAGACAAAAAAGTCACTTATTTTGTTACGTGAAAATTGAAATGTGCAGATAGTATTGGTTATTCTTACGACAATTGCTGCATTGTTTGAATCTGATAATTCATTCGCCAATGTCTGGCAGGCAGAGGTATGCCAAAATGAAAATTGTACTGTGAGAATCCATCAGTACTGCCTGAAGCAACTTTTCTTGCAGAGAAAGGTATTGGTATTATTAGTCTTATTTCATTTTTACAATTTTAGAAAGATGGGGAGTCTCTGATTAATTTGCTACTACTAACTGGTGTTTAGGCTGCCAAAGTTTGCCCAAATTGTGGCACATCCTGGCCATGTACAGTACCCAAGGAAGAGGCCTTCCTGATTGAAGATAACAATGGACCTAGAGAAAACCAACGGATGACTAGATCTGATCGAAAGAGGAAAAGTGCTAATAGGGTTGTTGTTGATGATGAAGTTGGATGCAGTAATCAGGATGAGCTGAATGAAAATAGAGAAACCCAGAATGATAATGTATTGGTACGAAAAAGAAGAGTATGCCAAACAGATGATGCAGATATAGGAGGTTCTGGTAAATCACAATCTTCAGGAGCCATTCCGGTGTTGAGAAGAGTAACTCGAAATTCTTCTCGTCTTATGTAAATCAACAATGGTGCCTTATACTGCCTCTAGGTGAAGCACTGTACATTTTGCTGCTGACGGCTTGTAATTTATGCTGAACTTTTGAGGATATTTGAATGGACTTTTGTTGTACTGCAGTTAGCTAGTTTTAGTGACTATTTAAATCAGTTGAATTATGTTAGGTCCTGTGGTTGAGAAACACCAATCCTCTAGCAATCAAATACAATGTAAATTCGTCACCAAGTGTCAAAAGAATCAACTCAACTCAACTTAGAGCGTGTTGACTGTCGAGGAAGCGGGATGATTATTTTGCTCAGTTGATAGTTAATTATCTAGTAGTGTTGTTTTACTATAAACTTGATCATGATACTATCTGCTTAGCTTGGGATCAAACTAGTTAGATATATATAACATGTCTAATGCCTATCACTTGTATATGAAGATTGATACATGTGGAATTATTTTACCTTTTAAGCGTCAATATTTATACGAAGAGTACGGTAACATTATGTTGTCTACGTATGTTTTAAATAAGATTCCTGATTCAGGTGAATAAAAAAACGTGATTGAAATTGAAACTTGACATGTATGTTTTAACAAGATTCCTGGTTCTGGTGAATGAAAAAAGGTGATTGAAATTGAAAGTCGTTTGTATTTAAACTTTGGGTATGCGTATGGAAAACGCTTTATTTAGAAAACCGTCTTTCGACTTCAACTGTCCCTGACTAAAAAACGATTTGTCTTCCAAAACTAGAAATCCTCAATATATTCTTAATATACTAATAGTATAATAGATCAAGTCCGTGGGTCAATGTGTTCAACTTGTACAAAATTTGGTAAAATGGATCGGTAATTTTAGTTAGTTTGTTTGTTTTAGTTTAATTGGATATTTTTAGCTTGTTAATTGGGTGAATGGTGTCTTTTTTTTTTAATATTTATATATTAAAATTAAAATAAAAAAATTTATAATTTAAAATATTAATGTTTATATTATGTTGTTGAAATATAAAAATATATTATAATATTATAATTTAAATTATAAATAATAATTAATTAAATTTAAATTATGAATTATAATTTAATATTTTAATATATAAATATAGTAATGTTTTTAATTTTTTTAATAAAAATATTAATTAATGAATAAAAACTTAAAAAATATTTATAATTAATTATATATTTTAAAAAATACATATAAAAAATAAATCGGTCAATTGATTCGCTAATCGGTCATTTGGCGAGGTAGATTAAAATTTATAATTTATCCTAATTATTAAGAATCAATCCTTCAATTTCTGTTTTTACCAAGTGGAGCAGATAAAAATTGATTAATTTTATTACCCCTCCATACGAATTTTAAAAAAAAAATTCCTCCATACGAATAAAAAAAAATGTGTGCAATAGGTACAATAATATATATATATATATATATATATATATATATATATATATATATATATATATATATATATATATATATAATGAGTATTGATTTCATAATCTAAGTTATGAAAAAATTCTTATAATAAAATAATCTCATTTAAATATATTGAGTAGTCATAAAATTAGTGAAAAACGCAACTTTATTACTCTGGGATAATAAATATTAAAATAGTGTTTTTTTATTTATAAAATTTCTTCTAAAAAAATAATGAAAGTCAGTTAGAACATGAACCCAGATAGTTGATAAACTAGTGTGTAAGATTTAATAAGCTTAATATTCATATTTGATCAATATTAGTTTTTTTTCTATTTGAAAAATGATAAAATCTCCATTTAAGGTTGAATAATAATAATAATAATAATAATAATAAATAAATAAATAAACATTCAAGAGGAGGTTTTTGTTCTACACTCCTACTACCAAAAAAAAAAGTGATACACTAGTTGAATTTTCTCATTGTTTGGGTGTTAGAGATTTTTCTCAACAAAATTACTCACCAAAACAAATTTGGGGATTAAAAAATTTCTTTTCCATAACTCTTCACTTTACTAATCCATATCATGTATATTTAAATAGTGCAAAGTCTTATCTAAAAGGACAAAATTTAGATAGAATATATTCAGTAATAAATTATTCCATTAATTATCTTAATATGTTATCAAGATAAACTTTAATAAATTGATTGAAAAATAATATCAACAGTATATAATTTTATCCTACAGAATTCTTTATAGAAAGAGATAGGGAAAAAAATTATAATTTTTTTTTGGTTTATTTAGACTAAGAAAAAAAATTTAATCTTTTTGTCTGTTTGTTTGATTAGATAAGAAGGTAAACAGAAAAAAAAAATGATTATTTTAATAAAAAAAAAAGACATTCATACCTAATGCATATGCACAATCTGTCCCAATGTTGCAAAAGGTTAATTATGTGATGGATAAAATTGATGTTTGAAAAAAAAAATTGCTTGATTTTCTTTGCTCCCATACAAAGAGTTTTCTCCATGGGCCTTTTATGATTTGAGCATTTTCTTTGCTCAAAGTCTTGAATATTGTTCAGTTAGAAATATGCATCCATTGTAAATTTATTATATATATATATATATATATATATATATATATATATATATATATATTATGATTAATGGATAATGTAAAGAATTTAGACCAATATATTCCTTTTAAACTCAAATAAATAAAATATAATGGAAGGGATGTTAATTACTCATAGTGCACTCCTCACTATCATTAGCCATATGTTTTTTTTTTTTAATTACACAGTAACTTATATGCTTATTTAGATTTTATCTATCAATATCAAAAGATAAAAAAAAATTGTAACAACTTATTTTAGATTTTAATATTTTTTATAAGATAAATTTGTGATGTGATCTTGATAAACCTTATGTGTGGATTGAATAATAGATTTGAAGAAGTAGAAAAAGGAGAAAAAGAGAATAAAAAGTGAGATGATTTGGATTAAAATAAATAAACTAAAATAAAATATAAATAAATAAAAAGATTATAGATAATAAGATTAATTTGATGAATTAAAATATTATTTTAGTTTTTAAAATTATTTATTATTATAATAGTTAAAAAATAAAAATAATAACGTTTAAAAAAATTAAAACATAATCAGTTATAAAAAATATAATCACTTATATCTTATTCTCTGTATACTTTCTTTACATGTATCTAAGGTAAACAAAAAAGTTTACATTTTTTTTAATTTTATTTTTCAAACTTTTATCGCATATTCATTTTATCATAAATTTTGACTAATGATTGTAGGGTTAAATAATATATATTATTAATAAATAATAAATAAATGTGAAAAATAAAAGAATAAAAAATAAATTTATTAATATATAAATAAGGATATATAATAATTATTAAATTTAAAATTAAAGGATAAATTCAATAATAAATTATAAAATTTTGAGAATGAAATACCTAGCTCCCAAGATATCCCCGGCCACTGCATCCATTATTTCCCTCTCTCTCTTCACTTTTCGGTACACTAATCGAAACCCTTGGTAAGAGTATGAGCAATGGTTGGAAGGTGATGTAGTATAAACTGGTTTAGTTGAAAAAGTGCCCAAAATTTTTCATATAAAAAATACTCCATGTAAAGGAGAAATAAAGGTTGTACTTGTGGCTAACTGGTTGGCATCATTCTTTATTGGAGTTGGCTTTTCACTATTAATCTAATTAAAGTACCAAACAACACCTTACTTTGTAAGCAAGAGCATTTAATTAGTAGCTATAATTAGAAACTGATGGGAAAACCTGCTTTTCGTGAGAGAAAAGAAAGTCGGCATCTTATCTAAGATAACTATATGTATTTATTTAGGGGATACAAAACAAGATTATGGTCTTCTTTTTTTTTAATCAGACTTATTTTTACATATGAAAAAATAAATTTAAGGTTTAAAGATTTAATCAAAGTTTAATCGAAATTTATTAAAATAATATGTTTATAATATAATAAATATATAATAAATTAATTAATTAATAATAATATTGTTTTTATAAAAAAATAACAAAAGTTACTTTCATAAAATAATTATTAAAATCATACAGAAATATTATAAAATAATTAAACTAAAATATATTATGTTTTTATAAGAAAATGATTTTTAATTTTTTTTACCAAAACCGGTTGAATTTAAAAATCCAGTTAATTTTTCTGATTTTATCCAAATATAATTAAAGTCTAATTATTTTAAAAACAAGGTATCAATTTCTAGACTCATTTTCAATTAGACCTATTAAACTGTCTAATTTTTAAACACAGTGACTCTTAGAGTATAATTTTAATATATGGCATAATTATTTTGAATATCATTAATTAATTAAAAGATTATTTTATATATTATATTTAAAATAATTAAAAACCAACAATTTTAAGTATATAATAAATCATTATTACAATGACCGTAGTATACATTTTGTATATTATTAATATATTTTAATTGTTTAAAGTGGTGCTCAATTTGAGTGTAAGTTGATTCAGAATTTGCTAATATTGGAATATATGAGACCGAGTTTGAAACCATGCTTGATCTTTGTGAATGGAATAGAACAAATCAAGTCAATTCACTTTAATATTATCTATAACCACTTATTTAGAATATGATGGGTGTCATAGTCACTAAAAACACGCTTCATTTATATCTTGTAAAAACAATTTAACCATCTAAAATTCATATTTGATTCCTATTATATATTATTACATAAAACATTTACATATTAATATTTTTTATAATTAATTTATTAATATATATATATATATATATATATATATTTTTTTTTCTCTCTCTCCACTCTTTATATATACTTACATTCTTTTTACTTATTATATTATCACACATTTTTTTCTTTTTCTAATATTTTTTAGTATATAAACTATAATAATTACTTTTCATATATTTTTCTCTCTTATTTTATATATAATGATATATTTAATAAAAAAGTAAAATTATTGTTGAAATCTCGTATTATTTGTCTCATATCATGTGTCATGATTTAAATATTTGTTAGACTAATTTAGATATTACCAATTAGTTTTATGTTGAAACTTTAACATGATATCAAAACTAAAGTCTAATTTCTTTTTGGTTTTTGTCTTGAGTCAAAAATTACCCTTTCCTTATAAGTTAAAAGTACCATTTGTCTTATTTGATAAGTTTCATTGGAGGGGGTTTGTTAAAAGTCTCATATAACCTACCTTATATTATGTGGTATGATTTAAATACTTTTTATACTTGTTACTTACAAATTTGCAAAATATATTAAAGGGAATAAATCAAGAAGTATAAGAGGTATTGAAGGAGACGATGACAGTGAAAAAAGATAATCAAAGTTTTTAAAGGTTGAATATCAAGACTAAAAGAGACAAATTAAGAATAAAAGGTTAACTTAAAGTGATAGGTTGAAATTTGTAGATTGAAGGTACAAGTTTTAAATACTTATGATGAGGAAATGCTCGAAGATGCGTATTATCGAAAAGGAGATTGGGTTGAACAAATAAGAAGTCAAGAGAAAATATAATGTGATCAATCGAACATTAAGAATTGAAGAGATGAGAGTATCAAATCCAGGGATGTG